CCTTCCTTCCTTCCTTCCTTCCTTCCTGTGGATCCCACTGTCCCTGAGAGAGTGCAACAGCTCAGCCGTCCTGTCTGTAACCTGACAGCTGGGAAATCCAGTTATGTCTAACTTGGATTTTGAGCTCTAGACAAAAATTCACTTGATCTTGGCTTTTAGATGAAAATGCAGTGGTAAAATAAAAAGCATTGATTAAAAAAAATAATCTCTATAATAAGGAAAACAAAAGCTGCTGGAGCACAGCCTGGCCTCCAGAGAAGAGCTGCTGGCCAGAGGGTTTAGTGTTATGTCCCATTCCTACTGCATTCCCACCAAATCCAGTCTGCTAACACCTGCTCATCTCCCTAGCTTTCAAAAGTATGTGAGCTTGGAAAAATGGGAGCTATAAAACCTTCAAACCCAGCCATTTAAGACAGGGCAGCGAGCTCCCGGCTGTGTCCTCAGGCACAGGGAGGAGCTGGCTCCCTCCCCCAGTGGCAGAGCCATGCTGGGAATCCCACAGTCTTCAAAGGGTAAGAGAGAATTTTCCCACTTTTTGTGCCAAGTAAGGCCTTTATCTTGCAGAGCATCCATATGCGACACTCAGATTGTCAGTGTTTAGCACCAAGATGCCATTTCTGGGAGCAGGAATGCTGTTATCTTGCTGTTATCTACACCTGGCAGATGTTGTAGTGAACTCCCGTCTGATCCAGCAGGGTTTCTTGAGTAATTTCAATTCCATTGTCTTTGGGATGCAGGTGTGAGGTCTCTGCAGAAGGAAACTTGTCTGTATTGCTCACTGGGTTTTGCTGCAAAAAGCAAAGAGCAGAGTTTTAATTTCTGGAGAGAGCAGGTGCCTTGTGCCTGTCCTGCCACGTCCCACGACCGCCTGCCCTCCGTGCTGCACGTACCCGGGGGGGCTTTGGGGCAAAGTCCTTCTCGCAGACGTGCGCTATGATGCCCGCAGCCAGCGCGTCACCGAGCACGTTGGTCATGGTTCGCAGTCGGTCCCTGCCGGGAGACAGTGCCAGCATGCAGGGGGCTGCCACAGCCAGTGTGCCCGGGGTGTTGATGGCTTTGCATCCTGAATGTCCCTCCCGCTGGTGTTGCCCAGTGCTGTGTTGGTTTTGGAGATGCAGAGAGGTCCCTATGTGAGCCCCGTGCTGGGCAGCATCTGTCTCCCTACCTGTGTGAGCAGTGCAGGCAGCTGCCAGTGCCTCCTCCCAAACTGGGACAGGCACTGTTGTGCTAAGTGCAGGGAGAGCTGCCTCAGTGAGTCATAGAACTCCTTGAGATGCCTCTAGAGGAGAAATTCTGTAGATCCAGCCACCGGTGCTCTCTTGTCTACCCAGGCACCTCTCACACTAGTAGAAGGTGCCAGCAGTGCTGGATACTCTGTGATACTGAAAGGTTGAAGTGGTGGTGTGTTAACCTTCTTTGGTTGGGGGAAAGAAAAAAAGGGGAGGGAAAGAGAAAAGCAGCCTTGATATTTGGCACTGTTCCTTCTTTTTCCCTGGGGCTGGAAAGTACAAACCAGCCACCCACATGTCACTTCCCTAACTCAGCATCTGCTCTGTGGTTTCTCACCTAATGACTCACTTTGTTCGTATCTTAGTACTTTAGAATGGCACATTTCACAAGATGTGAGTTTATTTGTGACAAGTGTATTCCAGCATCAGTTCCTGTCTTGAGAGCAGTCTGGTTTCATCCATCAAGATGAAGATACATCACCATGAATTGACACGGGGCACTGCCCACAGCAGTGGCCTGGAGAGCACTTACAGAGCCCAGTCGACGGCGATGATGAGGGTGATGTCCTCGGTGGGCAGCCCCACGGAGGTGAGCACGATGACCATGGTGACGAGCCCGGACTGCGGGATCCCAGCGGCCCCGATGCTGGCTGCCGAGGCCGTGATGCTGCAGAGAGAAGGCGGCTGTGCAATCCAAACCAGCGTGTTTGCATGGCAAAGTAAGTTATTGCTGTGTGGAAGGAGTGGATTGGATCCGACGTCCTCCACCTTCCTGCTCCCAGGTGCTATCACAAATTCTCCTGCACAGAGCAGGGGCTGGCAGCGGGTGCTCTGTGCTCCCCCCTGCCTTCAGGGTAGGGACTTCCTCATTAAAATTACTAAACATTCGCAAATGTACTTATTATTTAGTTACATGCTTTATTTCCCTGCTTATAAAAGGAGAGTATCTCGCTCCTGAAAGGAATTTGCTGCACAAATCCTTCTGTGCTCAGCCCTGCAGTGCTGACCTGCTCCAGCCACATGTCTGTGCAGCTAGGCTTTTCCCTACAGACAAAGTCCTTGACTTGCAGCAGATTCAGGGCTGCAGAGCCAGCCCAGCTTTCCCTGGCACACAGCATAGGGACTGGGACATGCTGCTCCTCCCCTGCTCCTCACCTTCCCAGAGAAGGTCACTCACTCTGTGTATTAACAAGATCTCTGCAAACAGGAAAAATGCAAGAGGTTGTCCTAATGTCCATAAATAGGAATAGAGAGAAATAATCTGGCTGCTGCAGAGAAACCGTTACCTTATAGTTATAATTTGTCCCAAGTCCAGTTCATACTCATTGACCTGGGCGATGAAGATGGCAGCAACGGCCTCGTAGAGCGCGGTGCCGTCCATGTTGATGGTGGCCCCGACGGGGAGCACGAAGCGCGCCACGCGCCTGTCAATGCCGTTGTTCTCCAGGAGACACTTGAGGGTGATGGGCAGGGTGGCTGAGCTGCAGGACAAGAAACGAGCAGTAATTGCTGTTTGTGTTGAGCTTTATAAGCTGGAGTCAGTGTGATGGGACAGAAATACCAGCCCTCCTGGGGTGGATGCCATGTTGCACAAATTGCTGTAGCAATGAGAGTCTTCAGTTTTCACCACCAGGGAATAGACATTATCACCCAAGTGAGCCTCAGGCTGAGAGAGGAAATGTCAGAATGTCATTTCAGTGGCTGAAGGCACCACTTTAACCATCTGTGTGCCATGGCTGCAGCTCTCTTGCCCATCCCTGGTGCCCACGTTAATCCTGCAGCACCTCCTGGGGCATGAGACTGTGTGTGCCAGCACTGGCTGCGCTGGGGTCCAGCCAGACCCCAGTCCTCCTGTCTCCTTCATGGGGGATGCCTGCCTCAGCTTCTGCAACCCTGACCTCTCTTGTTTCTGTCTAGCATGAAGATGACAACTGTCCCACAGGAACTGGGATGAGGAATGGAGGAAGAAGAACAGGTTGAAGAAAGGAAACCACAGAAAAGAAGTCCATGGGATTGCAACAGACTCTGAGAAGTGGAGAGTGCATTTGGGAAGGGCTCTGGATGCAGAGTGATGGCCCCAGCCCTCAGACCATGGGGCTGGGACAAGGGAGCAGGGTGTTCTCTCTGTGACAATTCTCCCTCAGCTGGCTGCAGGAGAAGCCTGGTGGAGACAGAGCTGGAGATCCAGGTTCAGGAGGAGACCAGGTTATTAAGAGTTCCAGAAGCAACCGTTGCAGCGGTGGACATTGGGGAAGGGAGGCAGAGTCCAGGTGGTATTTTTGGGATTATGTGAAGAAGCAACAGAGAGGCCAGAAAAACCCTTTCCCTGGTCAAATGCGCTCCAGGAAAATGTTTGAATTTGTGTGTCTTCTGGAAAGGATAGTAGTTTATAGTGTGAAGTCTTTTTCATTGTTATAAGGAATGTATTTCAATGAAAATAGAATAGATAAATATAAAATTATTAAAATCTTTTCAAAGTAGGCAAGATTTTTCTGTGGAAGAACTTGGGATACGCTATAGTTGATTTTAGACTGTCAGTAAAGTGTTCCAAAGAACTTCTGGTGTTTTCAATTAAACTTCAGGATCATAACCCCATGCAGTTTATAAAGCACCTACAACAGTCCTAGTTTGAATTAATGGAAAGAAAACTGCAGCAATCAAATGAAGTGTGCACACACACACACAAAAACATTGCTGGTTTGCTCTGGGAAAACCCTGGGAGAGGGTGACTGGAAGAGCACCACAAGCTGCCCAGGTCGGCCAACTAGGGCAGGACCAAGCATCTGCTTCCTCCTAAAACTGGGAGCATTCCCATTTCAAACTGCTGCAGCAGTTTTCTTTCGAGTTACCTGTCCCCCCCGAGCTCAGCTGGCCAGACACTGCCATGTCTCCCTTGCTAAACCAGATCTCTGCTCTGCAGTATCCGCAGGTTCCAGCCATGTTTTCCTACCTGGAGGATGTAGCTAAGGCGATCAGCAAGGCTTGCAGTATCCCCTGAATAAAAGCAAAGGGGTTTTTCTTGGTGATGAGCACAAAAAGCAGAGGTAGGAGGATGATTCCATGGAGGGCAAGCCCTGACACTACTGTAATGACATACAGTCCCAGCTTCTGTCCAATAACCGACGGATCTTCCATCTCCAAGATCTTTCCAGCTATGAGAAATACAATGCCAAAGGGGAAGTACCTGCAAAAAATAAGCATAAAAAAAAATATGAGGGTGCAGCAATCACTATAGCACTGCAGGTTAGAAATGGCAGTGTTTGGTACTGTGCAGTACAGTTGTACAAAAACAAATTCAGTGCTCACAGCAGACACTTGCAGATGTGTAACCAGCATTGCCATTAGATAGAAGGAAAGAAAATCAATCAATCAATCAAAACCAGTTTTACCAAACGGCCATCGAGACAATTTTCATAACTGCTTCGTTCAGACACTGGCACACGTTAACCAGCGGGGCTCCTCGCTCGCCCATTTTCCCCAGGAGAAGTCCTGCAAGCAAGCACAGCAGGTTACTTTACTTGGGAGCACCACGGGAGCAGCACCTGACACGCCAAGTGTCTTGAGGGTCTGGTGGCCACAGAATGGGGGTCACCAGGAAAAACCTGATTTAGTTCTGGTTGCCATGTGCTCTTGCGAGTCAGAGCCATTCTCTGTTCCAAGCAAACACGAGCATCTGGCCTTTGCTCACAAAGCCCCACCAGACTCAAATCCAGGATTTGGACTCTTCCTTGCACAGAAAACAGATAAACTTCACTGCTGCTCAGTGCTGGAAGAGTAATTTCCTGGGGTGGATAAACTGTGGATTAGGTGGATTGGGTGGATATCTGGATTACTATTTGATAACACAAGAATAATGAACTCTAGAAATAAAAATGGAATTCCTTTAAGGGTAAGGTGAGGTAGGGCTCTCTGTAGCTGAGGATGTGATGCTGTGCTGCATCCCTGCCCTGCTGTGCAGTGAAAGGGGCCTTGGCTGCCACAGGACAGCAGTGCTCAGCTCCCACGCCCGGTACCCTCATGGGCCAGGCTGTTCAGTGTTGGTGGCTCACAGGCTGTGCCACGGTGGTGACAACACATGTGGCTGTACAGTGTGATGTCAGGAAGGATCTGAGTGAGTTGCTTAGATACAGGCATTAAGCTTCTCTCCTGTTTTTTAACTTTGATGTTGTTGCATTAACCCAATCCAGCCTAAATTTTCTGTTGAAGGAATACCAGAGCAGAAATACAGTCTATGGTTTGAATGATTAGAAGGGTTATGGTGCTGTCCTGTCTGCCAGTGCTAAACCCCATTGCTTTCACTGGCTGGGAGGCTTTCCAGGAGCAAGCAAAGGGGAAAGGAACCTTTGAGCATTTGCCCATCTTGTTTCCAGTGCAAGTCTTCCTGTGTTGGCTAAAATTAATTTTGAAGCACTATGCAGGTGTTTGTCTGTTTTATCTTGGAAAAGAAGAATATAAACAGGATCTTGTCCTGCTTATCCCTCTTCAATCTTCAGGGCTGAGGACTCCAAGAGGCCCTTGGTTGGTGGTTGGATCTCTTGCCTTGCTCAAAAGAGACATGAGGTAGGGTCACATTTGCCAGAAATGAGACAAGGCTTGGCATGTTTAAATCTCAGCTCTGTGGACATTCATCCAGTATTTGGTAGCCACAACAGCTACTTTGGAAGAAAGTAATTTCTCTTCAAGTCCTACAGAACTGATTTGGGAGACATGGCCCAAGTACACAGATTCCTGCAAGGATCTTGAAAGCTCTGCCCTCTCATGGGTTTCAAAAGCAACAGAGGGGTCCTCAGTGACAGTGAAGAACTGTCGGAGCTGGGGCAGCTGTGTGGGGTCACCCCTCATAGCAAAGTCACCCTGGGTACCTAGTGGCTGCTGCACGGATGCCTTGGTCCCAGCCCCACGAGCTGCCTAGTTTGGTGCTGGACACAAATACTCGACCAGCTCCCACCTGCCCCGCCTCGCTGCACGGAGGAGGTGATCCCTATTTCCCAAGGCATGGGGCTGTGGTGCCCTGCTTGTCCCCCTCCTGTTTTCTGCCAGGCAAACTCAGTTCAGCCTCTCCTCATAAAGCCCCTGTGGGTGTATGAATGCCCTGTACCAAGCTGCCTGTGCCTGGTGCAGGTGATGCTGAGCCAGTCTGTGCAGCTTAATCCTGGGCAAACATGGGAAGTGCAGGTGGTGGCTGGGGCTGGCTCAGCTGATCTCCCGCTGCCTCCTGACTCTGGCTGATCCCACTCCCACGCTGGAGAGGTTGTGGAGTGTCATCTTAGAAGATAAAAGCAGCTTCTCCTTGCAGGTTTGTCAGGGCTGGAGGGGGCACGTGTCCTGTGGGCAGGAGCTCAGCAGCTTTCCTGGGTGTCCAAGGTGCAGAGGCTGTTGGTTGCTGGGACAGGAGATTGCCAGAGACATTTCTCTGGCTGTAGGGATCTGTCAGTGGCTCTGGCTCTGCCCAGTCTCCCTGTGGCCACCTCCTCTGAGGTCTCACATTTGGAACTGGCTGCTGCTCGTGGCTCTGACTGCAGTCCAGCGCATTCCTGTGCTGTGCTGGCTGCGCTGCCTCCACACCTCGAATCTTCTAATTGGCTTTTTGGTTCCTTATACACAAAGTTCAAGCTCCTTGCCCTCACCTCTTAATCTACTCATAATCCTGCCACCATGCTCATCTCAGTGCCTCCTACTCTTTCCTTCCTGATCCCTCCTCCCTCCCTTTCTCCCTCAGCCATGCACCTGTGTCCTCTTATGCTTTGAGGCAGCTTCAGGTTCCTCCTTTCAATTACTTTCTCCCCTTTAAACCTCCTCTCTTGCACGTGTCTCTCCACAACCTCTGCTCCTTCCTTCCCAAAATTGCTGCCTAGCACCTTTTCCACACAGGACTGCAAGCTGTTCAATGCAGGATGCTGCCCTCCCTCCTTCAGAAAGTCCTGTTGGGAACCCTCATATATTTGTAATAGCACCAAATCTGACCCTGCTGTGACATCCTGCCTGCTCAGGGGCTAAACACTCAGCATGAAGGGTTTGGGGCTTTGTGGTGAGCTGTGTCCCAGGCAGCCTCTGCAAAATTACCTCGCTTCAGACTACATTAAAAGGAATCCCCAGTTTATGTAATGGTTTGAAACCCCTCAGGACCCGCACAGGGGCTGTGAAGGAAGTACAGCTGTATGTGTGAAGGTAACAAAAACAGCCTTCCCCATGCCTACAGCTTTAGTGAGCTCCACCACAGGTGGTGCTGACAGGGGCCTTGGCATGAGCTCTGTGCTGGGCCCAGTTCCCAGGGACAACTGAAGCTAAAAGAACCTTGTCCCACATCTTTCTCTCTGTAAAGCCTGGTGATGGCAGCAGTGGCTGCCCCGGCCCGTGGAGGAGCAGGTACCTATGGTTGCTGAGAAGATGACAATGCCCAGGACATTCATCTCATTGCTGGTCCCAGCCAGGGTCCTGTAGGTCATCTCGGGTGATGGTGTCAGCTCAAGGAACACAGGCCGATGGATTTCAGGGTTTTTGTCATCAGGTGCAAAGTAAATAAAATTGACAGGTTTTCCTGGGATCTTTGGAAAATCAGGAGACTTCACCACTGGGACAAGAATAGTTCGGTACTGGAACAGAAGCAGAGGACGGAGGTTAGTGTGCTGCTGGCATGAGCTCCATGCTGCTCTCAACACGGAGGCCAAGCCAGCCCTAGGCTGGGTGCTCCTGGAGGTCAAAGGTTTGGTTTTCAGGCAGTAAAAGGCTGGTGGGAACAAGGAGTGAGAGTCAGGCAAGAGGAGCTGTGGCTGTTTGCTGCAAGGCTGCAGAGCAGACTCGTGGTGTCAGTGACCCGGGTCCCTGGGGGATGCCAGCACAGCACTGGGGCCCCTCTGTCCCTCCATCACTGCTCCTGGGAGCTTTACTGATGCTTTCCCAATGCCAGGAGTTTGCTTCTTTCCCCTGTCCTTCCAGCCTACCTGGCCACTCCATCTGTTCCCTTTGACCACTGTGCCTTCTCTCAGGCGTCCCTTCTTTGTGTTCCTTCTTCGTGTCCCTTCCTTGTGTCCCTTTCCCTGCCTGCTGCTACCTCCCCCCATGGCTGCCACTCCCCAAGGATTCAAGAGCTGCTGCAGAGGAGTGGGATCTGAGGGATGTGTGCTGCTTCCTCAGAGCCTCGCAGGCAGAGAGCTCCTCATGGGGGTCCCTGTGAGCTTGTGCCCACCCCAGCACCCTCCTACCTTCAGATGCCTGCCTGGGTGAGTGTGGGGGGATGCAGAGGAAGGGAAGGGGAAGTTCAGGAAGGGAAGGGGCTCTGTCCAGGCTGTGGGTGGGCAAAGATGCAGCCCCTGAGGAGCTGAGCACCATCCTGGCTGCACACAGAGGGGTCAGGGGAGCTCACCTGCTGGAATGAAGCTTCAACGAGGTTAGAAGGAAACATGTTTCTGTAAGAGACCAATGACACAGGGTTAAAGTGAGTTATGAGAGCATAGGAAGCATCCTGGGAAGCATTTCTGGTGGGCACAATGTCTGCAAGAGGACATGAAAGCCTCTTGCAGACAAACGGCTTATGACAGCTGTGCAAGCTGAGAGC